AGGCAGACAGGGACACGCTCGGCGAGTACGGACACCAGGCAGGGACATGCGCGGCGAGCACGGACACTAGGCAGGGACACGCGCGGCGAGCACAGACACTAGGCAGGCAGGGACACGCGCAGCGAGCATGGACACTAGGCACGCAGGGGCACGCTCAGCGGTACAGACACTAGGCAGGCAGGGACACGCTCGGCGGGTACGGACACTAGGCAGGGACACGCGCGGTGATTACGGAAACTAGGCAGGGACACGCGCGGTGATTACGGACACTAGGCAGGGACACGCTTGGCGGGTACGGACACTAGGCAGGGACACGCTCGGCGAGTACAGACACTAGGCAGGGACACGCACGGCGAGTACAGACACTAGGCAGGGACACGCACGGCGGGTACGGACACTAGGCAGGCAGGGACACGCGCGGCGAGCACGGACACTAGGCAGGCAGGGACATGCGCGGCAGGCAGGGACATGCGCGGCGAGCACGGACACTAGGCAGGCAGGGACACGCTCGGCAAGTACGGACACTAGGCAGGGACGCGCGCGGCGAGTACGGACAATCGATAGAGAAACATTGAGTAAGTACAGACAGTAGACATAGACATGCGCAGTGAGTATGGAGACTTTTCTGAGATGTGGTCAGCAAGTATGGATACTGCAGCAAAGACTTTCTCTTTTAATGAGTCCTGTTGATTCGATTCAGTGGTACCTTTTCTGTATTTTGTTGAGGATGAGCTCAGGATTCTTATTCAACTGCATCTTTTTGTTTACACAGTTCCTGAAGAGAACATTGCAGCAATGAAATACGGAGCACAGGTTATTGGTGGAGAACTGAAAGCGGCTTTGCTTGATGGCGACACTCAAAATTATGATCTTGATCATGGCTTCTGCAGACACCCAATTGATGAGGACTGTAGGTCTGGGATTGAGGTGAAATTGGGCCAGGCATCAATCCTGAATCACATTCGCATGCTGCTGTGGGATAGGGACAGTCGGTGAGTTTGAACTAATGTGTTTGGAAGGTACAGTCATGTAGTTTGTTGGACTAATCACCCAAGAAACATGTTCATGTCCTAACTGCAAAATTTGAACATTATTAAGAAATTTGTTTGAAAATGGCTGCAATCAATGAAACCAATGTGATATGTAAACACCTATCTAGTTCTTCCCTGGTCTGGCTCACCACTGTCTCCACATTCATACTGAATGTTTGATGCATAACTGCTCTCTAAAAAATCAAAACATATCACTCTTGATCAGTTTCTCACGGATAGTTAGGGATGACAATAAATATTAACCTTGCCATCTCTACGTCTCCCTTTATATTTTCCCGAGGACCTATGTTTGTCTTCAGTAATCACTTCTCTTTATGTACCTATAAAAGCTTTTGCAGTCAATTTGTATGTTCCATAGAAGCTTACCTGGTCTAGTCGATGTGTGACTCTAGATCCATAGCATTGTGGTTGACTCTTAACTTGTCTCTGAACTGACCTAGCAGGCCACTCACTTGAATCAAACCAAACAATGGTTCACTAGAGATAGTAGGAACTGCAGACGCTGGAGAATCTGAGATAACAAGGTGTAGAGCTGGATGAACACAGCAGGCCAAGCAGCATCATAGGAGCAGGAAGGCTGACGTTTCGGGCCTAGACCCTTCATCAGAAATGGGGGAGGGGAAGGGGGTTCTGAAATAAATCGGGAGAGAGGGGGAGGCAGATAGAAGATGGACAGAGGAGAAGATAGGTGGAGAGGAAACAGACAGGTCAAAGAGGCGGGGATGGAGCCAGTAAAGGTGTGTGTAGGTGGGGAGGTAGGGAGGAGATAGGTCAGTCCAGGGAGGACAGACAGGTCAAGGGGGCGGGATGAGGTTAGTAGGTAGGAGATGGGGGTGCGGCTTGAGGTGGGAGGAGGGGATAGGTGGGAGGAAGAACAGGTTAGGGACGTGGGGACGAGCTGGGCTGGTTTTGGGATGCGGTAGGGGGAGGGGAGATTTTGAAGCTTGTGAAATCCACATTGATACCATTGGGCTGCAGGTTCCCAAGCGGAATATGAGTTGCTATTCCTGCAACCTTCAGGTGGCATCGTTGTGGCACTGCAGGAGGCCCAGGATGGACATGTCGTCTGAGGAATGGGAGGGGGAGTTGAAATGGTTCGCGACTGAGAGGTGCGGTTGTTTATTGCGAACCGAGCGTAGGTGTTCTGCAAAGTAGTCCCCAAGCCTCCGCTTGGTGTCCCCGATGTGGAGGAGGCCACAACGGGAACAGCGGATGCAGTATACCATATTAGCAGATGTGCAGGTGAACATCTGCTTGATGTGGAAAGTCTTCTTGGGGCCTGGGATGGGGGCAGGTGTAGCACTTCCCGTGGTTGCAGGGAAAAGTGCCGGGTGTGGTGGGGCTGGAGGGGAGTGTGGAGTGGACAAGGGAGTCACGGAGAGTGTAGTCCCTCCGGAAAGCAAATAAGGGTGGGGAGGGAAAAATGTCTTTGGTGGTGGGGTCGGATTGCAACCACCCACGCCCTCCACCTCCTCCAGAACTTCCAATTCCCTGGTCCCCAACACCTCATCTTTACCATGGACGTCCAGTCCCTATACACCTGCATTCCCCATACAGATGGCCTGAAGGCCCTCCGCTTCTTCCTGTCCCGCAGGCCCGACCGTCCCCCTCCACTGACACCCTCATCCGCTTAGCCGAACTCGTCCTCACCCTCAACAACTTCTCTTTCAATTCCTCCCACTTCCTACAGACAAAGGGGGTGGCCAAGGGTAACCGCATGGGCCCAAGCTACGCCTGCCTCTTTGTAGGTTACTTGGAACAATCCCTCTTCCGTACCTACACTGGCCCTAAACCCCACCTCTTCCTCCGTTACATTGATGACTGTATCGGCGCCGCCTCGTGCTCCCACGAGGAGCTCGAACAGTTCATCCACTTCACCAACACCTTCCACCCCAACCTTAAGTTTACCTGGACCATCTCTAATACCTCTCTCTCCTTCCTGGACCTCTCTGTCTCCATCTCGGGCAGCCACCGAAAACCGATATCCATTTCAAAGCCAACCGGCTCCCACAGCTACCTAGAATACACCTCCTCCCACCCACCTTCCTGCAAAAATTCCATCCCCTATTCCCAATTCCTTCGCCTCCGCCGCATCTGCTCCCAGGATGAGGCATTCCACTCCCGTACATCTCAGTTGTCCTCGTTTTTCAAGGACCGTAACTTCCCCCCCTCAGTGGTCGAGAACGCCCTCAACCGTGTCTCCCAGATTTCCCGCAACTCATCCCTCACACTCCGTCCCCGCAATAAGAACCAAAAAAGAATCCCCCTTGTCCTCACGTACCACCCCACCAACCTCCGGATCCAACGCATCATCCTCCGACACTTCCGCCATCTACAATCCGACCCCACCACCAAAGACATCTTTCCCTCCCCACCCTTATCTGCTTTCCGGAGGGACCACTCTCTCCGTGACTCCCTTGTCCGCTCCACACTCCCCTCCAGCCCCACCACACCCGGCACTTTTCCCAGCAACCACAGGAAGTGCTACACCTGCCCCCATACCTCCTCCCTCACCCCCATCCCAGGCCCCAGGAAGACTTTTCACATCAAGCAGATGTTCACCTGCACATCTGCCAATGTGGTATACTGCATCCGCTGTACCCGTTGTGGCCTCCTCTACATCGGGGAAACCAAGCGGAGGCTCGGGGACCGCTTTGCAGAACACCTACGCTCGGTTCGCAATAAACAACTGCACCTCCCAGTCGCGAACCATTTCAACTCCCCCTCCCATTCCTCAAACGACATGTCCATCCTAGTCCTCCTGCAGTGCGACAACGATGCCACCTGAAGGTTGCAGGAACAGCAACTCATATTCCGCTTAGGAACCCTGCAGCCCAATGGTATCAATGTGGATTTCACAAGCTTCAAAATCTCCCCTCCCTCTACTGCATCCCAAAACCAGTCCAGCTCGTCCCCGCCTCCCTAACCTGTTCTTCCTCCCACCTATCCCCTCCTCCCACCTCAAGCCGCACCCCCATTTCCTACCTACTAACCTCATCCCGCCCCCTTGACCTGTCCATCCTCCCTGGACTGACCTATCCCCTCCCTAACTCCCTACCTACACTCACCTTTACTGGCTCCATCCCCGCCTCTTTGACCTGTCTGTTTCCTCTTCACCTATCCTCTCCTCTATCCATCTATCCGCCTCCCTCTCCCTATTTATTTCAGAACCCCCTTCCCCTCCCCCATTTCTGATGAAGGGTCTAGGCCCGAAACGTCAGCCTTTCTGCTCCTATGATGCTGCTTGGCCTGCTGTGTTCATCCAGCTCTGCACCTTGTTGTCCTAAGAATCCAGTATGTTTCACTGAGATCACCTTTCATTCTTCTAAACTCCAGTGAGTAGACTCCCAGCCTGGTTAAGCTTTGCTCATAAAATAATCCCTTCATACCAGGGATCGTCCTGGGGAGCCTTCTCTGAACTGAATCCAATGAAACAATATCTTCCCTTCAGTAAGGTGGACCAAAACTACTCTTAGACCTCCACATCTGGTCTCACTCGTACCTTGAGAGTCATCCTCGTCTGCGAGGGACCGCCAATAATGATGACAGTAGTTGCAGTAAGACTTCCCTACTCTTATACTCCAACTCCCTTCAAATAAGGGCCAACATTCCATTAGCCTTCCTGGTTACCTGTGTGCTAGCTTTCTGTGTTCCGTTCTCAAGTACCTCCAAGTTCCTTTGTGTTGCAGCCTTCTGCAAGTTTTCTTTATTTAAATAATGCTCTGTTCTTTGGTTCTCCTTTCCAAAGTGAGCAACTTCATTTTTTCCCATATGATCGTCCATTTGCCAACTTTTTGCCCACTTACTAAACCTATCAATGTCTCTTAATAAACTGTTTGTATCTCTTGGAACCTGCCTTGCCACCTGTCATCTACAAATTTGACTACAGTATGTTCACTTACTTCCTCCTATTCATTAACATGGATTGTAAGCAATTGCGGTCCCAACACTGATCCCTGTGAGACCCTACTGGTAACGGGTCATCAACCTGGAAAAGAACCCCTCTATCCCTGCCTATTAGCCAATTCTCTTTCCATGCCAATGTACTATCTTCAACACCGTGTGCACTTATGATTTAACCTTTTTTAAACATCTTCTGGAATTCCAAATACAACACACCTACTGGTTCCTCTCTGTCCACTCTGGTTGAGACTTCCTTGAAAAACTCTAATAATGTAGTTAAACATGATTTCCCATTCACGGAGCCGTGCTGATTCTGCTTGATGAGATTATGATTTTCCAAATGTTTGGCTATTTCTTCCTTAATAATTGATTCCAATACTTTTCCAACAATAGATGCTGCGCTAATCGGTCTATAGTTACCCTCTTCTTGCCTCCTTCTCTTTTTGAATAGCAGTTTTGCATCCTCTGATACTTCTCCAGAATCAAAGGATTTTTGGAAAATTACGATCAATTCATCCACTACCTCAGTAGCTACCTCTTTTCAGATCCTAGGATGCAAGCCATCAGGACCAGGGGACATATCTGCCTTTAGCCCTGGTTAGTTTTTTTGATACTACTTCTCTAGTAATGGTGATGGTGATGATATTTAATTCCTCCCCCATATTCTTTAGCCTTTGGGATAAATCACTGACTTTTACCTCCGTATTATTTTTCTTTCAACTTAATAGTCTCCTTAACTACCCTATGGTAGCCATAGTTGGTTTATCCCTCTCTGAGAATCTTTCCTCCTTACTGGGATGTATTTTTGCTGAGAATCATGGATTATCTCCTTAAATGTCTGCCTCTGTTAACTCACTGTTTTTCCTGCTAATTTATCTGCCCAGTTCACTTTAGCCAATTCTATCCTCATGTAATTGCAATTCCCTTTATTTAACTTCAATAGAGTTGTTTCTAACCTTCTCCCAAACTGAGTATTCAATTCAATCACATTCTGATCACTGCTTCCACAGGGATCTTTTACTAAATCTTTTACTTAATCATTTATTAAGTTTGCCTCATTATATGTTACCAGATCATAGCCTGCTCTCTGATTGGCTTCATGACACATTGATCTAGGCAACAATCCCTAATGCACTCCATGAGTTCACTCTCGTTACTCCCCTTTCCAATTTGATTGACCCAAAATCACCTATAATTATTGCTCTGTTATTTTTGCACATACCTATTATTGATTGACCTATAGCCTTTCCTGCAGAGTGACTACTGTTTGGGAGTCTGAACACTACTCCAAACAATGTCTTCTCTCCCTTGCTATTTTTCACCCATGACTAAATGGAGTCCACCTGATCCCAGCCTTGATAATCCCTTACAACTGTCTTCATTTCATCTCTTATTAGTGCTACCCCACCACCATGTCCTTCCCTCCTGTCTTTCTACAAGGTGAAATATCCCTGAATGATGGTGGTGATGGGCCACTGTCTGTGAGGTATGATTCCTTGAGTATGACTATATCAGACTGTTGGTGATCAGGCTGATAGTGTATGAGACAGTTATAAGGTTCTTTACGCAGAGAGTGGTCGGGGCGTGGAATGCATTGCCGGAGAGGGTAGTGGAGTCGGCCTCATTAGGGGCATTTAAGCGGCTATTAGATAGGCATATGGATGATAGTAAAAGGTAGGGGTGGAGATTAGATAGACCTTAGGTTTAGGGTAAAAGTTCGGCACAACACCGTGGGCCGAAGGGCCTGTGTTGTGCTGTACAGTTCTATGTTCCATCCTAATTTTGGCTGTAGCCCCAGATGTTAATAAATAGAACTTTGTTGTGTCAATGGGGCTAAGTTTCCCACTGTCTTTTTCAGTGCTTAGCTTGTTGCTGGATGGGTGTAAGTATCACTTTATTTGTAACTTTTGAGTGGTTTTATACAACTGAGTGGGTGGCTAGTCCATATCAATGAGCAGTTGAGAGTCAACTTCATTGAATCGTCACAGATCAGCCTGATCTCGTTGAGTGAGGGAATGCCCTCAATGGCTTCCTATCATTAGAATGTAATTTACACCTTGTAGAGAAGCTCAATCTGCTCTTCCTTTACTAGGTCATACTCATATTACATCGAAGTGTCCATGGATGAACTAGATTGGATTCGAATCATTGATCATTCCAACTACCTGTGTCGCTCCTGGCAGAACTTATTCTTCACTCCTCGTGTCTGCAGGTGAGTCCAGCTAAAAATGCTTTTCTAGTTCAATCTTCCCTATCCTGTCTCCAAATTGATCTGCTTCAACGAAGAAGGAATTCTCCTCAGCTTTGTGTTTGTTTATAGGATATTTCCTCTTGTTGGACAGTCTAGAACTGGGCGTCATGGTTTAAAAATAAGGGGGCACCCATTTAAAACTATAAGGGAACATGTTTTCTCTCTGAGCTATGAGAATCTTTGGGATTCCCTTCCTCAAAGGGCAGCGGATACAGAATCTTTAAATATTTTTAAGGTAGAGGTAGATAGATTCTTGATTACTAAGGAAATGAAAGATAATTGGGAATATGCAGGAAGGTAGAGATGAAATTAAAATCAGATCATCCATGGCCTCATTGAATGGTAGGCTAGAGTTGAAGACAAGTAATCTGCTCTTGTTCCTTGTTTGAATGAGTTTTCTTTGTTCTCTCGTGGGAGCGAGGGGAGGGAGAACAGGGAGAAGCTGTTTCCATTCATAAAAGCATTAAGAATGTGACAGTATAGAGTCAGAGATGTAACAACATGTGGGAAGGACCCTTTGGTCCAACTCGTCCATGCTGACCAGATATCCTAAATTAATCTAGTCCCATTTGGCTTGTAACCCTCTAAGCTTTTCCTATTCATATACCCATCTAGATGCCTTTTAAATGTTGGAATTGTACCAGCCTCCACCACTTCCTCTGGCAGGTCATTCCATACACGCACCACCCCCTGTGTGAAAAAGTTGCCCTTATGTCCCTTTTAAATCTTTTCCCCTCTCACCTTAAACCTATGTCCTCTAGTTTTGGACTTCCCTATCCTGGGAAAAGACTGTGGCTATTCACCCTATCCATGCCCCTTTAATTTTATAAACCTTTATAAGGACACCCCTTACAGAAGCCTCTGACACTCCATGAAAAATACCCCCAGCCTATTCAGCCTCTCTCTATAGCTCAAACCCTCCAACCTTGGCAACATTCTCATAATTCAGGGTTTGCGTGAAGATTTGTAGCTCGGGTGCTGGTTGGTGTGTTCGCCAAGCTGGGAGGTTTGACAGCAGATGTTTCGACCCCTTACTAGGTGACTTCCTCAGCGCTGTGGAGCCTCCTGTGAAGCGCTGCTGTCCTGTGTCAGTTCGAATTTATATGGACTGGTGTTTTGCTGCTTCTGGTCGCTGGGAATCACGACAGCACACAAACTGGCAGCCACACTAAGACAGCAACTGACCAGGGTTAAAGACCCAATAGATACCATGGACAGGATGAATGTGGTCTACATGATACCGTGCGGAGACTGCACAAAACACTATGTAGGACAAGCAGCCAACAACTAAACGACGCGACCAGATGTCCTTGGTTTCAATACACACAGACAAGAAAAAACACACTTTCAACTGGGACAACACTACTATTGTAGGACAAGCCAAACAGAGGACAGCCAGGGAATTCTTGAAGGCTTGGCATTCATCCGCGGACTCCATCAACAAATACATTGAATTAGACCCAACATACCGACCATTACAATGCACAGCCGGAACCAGCACCTACCAGAAGCAGCAAAACACCAGACCATATAAATTCGAACCGACACAGGACAGCAGCGCTTCACAGGAGGCTCCACAGCGCTGAGGATGTCACCTAGTAAGGGGTCGAAACATCTGTCAAACCTCCCAGCTCAGCAAGCGCACCAACATCTACAGTCTTGGAAATCTTTTCTGAACCCTTTCAAGTTTCGCAACATCTTTCCCATTGGAGGGAGACCAGAACTGAATGCAGTATTCTAAAAGTGGCCTAACCAATGTCCTATACAGCTGCAACATGACATCCTAACTCCTATACTCAATGCACTATCCAATAAAAGCAAGCATACCAAACACCTTCTTCAGCCTATCTACCTGCAACTCCACTTCCAAGGAACTATGAACTTGCACCCCGAGGTCTCTTTGTTTGGCAGCAGTACCTAGGGCCTTATCATTAAGTGTCTTAAGTCCTGCCCTCATTTGCCCTACCAAAATGCAAAACCTCATATATATCTAAATTAAACTCCATCTGCCTCTCCTCAGCCCATTTGCCCATCTGATCAGGGTCCCATTGTACTCTGAAATAACCTTCGCTGTCCACTACAATACCAATTTTGGTGTCATCTACCAACTTACTACCCAAACCTTCTATATTCACATCCAAATCATTTATATGAATGACAAAAAGCAGGGGACCCAGCACCGATCCTTGTGGCACACCGCTGGTCACAGGCCTCCAGTCTGAAAAACAGCCCTCCACCACCACCCTCTGTCTTCTACCTTCGAGCCAGTTCTGTATCCAAATGGCTAACTCTCCCTGTATTCCATCTGATCCAACCTCATTAACCAGTCTACCATGCAGAACCTTTTTGAATGCCATACTAAAGTCCATATAGACAATGCCCACATCTCTGCCTTCATCAAGTTTCTTTGTCACTTCTTCAAAAAAACTCAATCAAGTTGGTGAGACATGATTTCCCACGCACAAAACCATGTTGACTGTCCCTAATCAGTCCTTGTCTTTCCAAATACATGTAAATCCTGTCCCTCAGAATCTCTCCAACAACTTGCCCACCATTGACAATAGGTTCACTGGTCTATAGTTCCCTGGCTTTCCCTTACCATCTTTATTAAACCATGGCACTACGTTAGCCAATCTCCACACTTCCAGCACCACCTCCATGGCTATCAATGATCCAAATATCTCAGCAAGATAGATTCAAGTACAAAAAGCAGGGGTGATGTTTTCACACAGCACGTAATTAGATATGGAATGCACTGCCTGGAAAAGCAGTGGAGGCGGTTCAGTCAAGGCATTTAAGACAGCACTGGATGATTATTCAGATAGAAATTGTGTGCAGGGAAATGTGGAAAATGTAGGTGATTGGCCCCAGGGAATTGAACCGGTGCAGGCATGACAGGTTGATTCTGTGATTCTGGGATGTGGTGATCACAGGCAGGGCTGGCACTATTTGCCCATTTCTAATTGGCCATTCATAATCCTTATCTAAAGAATTATTGTTAGCACCATAAACTTGACAGAAGAGTGCAAACTCAGCACAATCCGCGAGCAGCTCATCTTCCCAAATGAATTAAAATTGCACAAAAATCCCATTGGACTCGAAGCATTAACTCTGTTTCTGTCTCCACAGACGCAGCCAGAACTGCTGGGTTCCTCCAGTATTTTCTGGGTTTTTTTTTATATAATGGCACATCTGGTTTAATTGTCAAGCTTGCTCAGCATTTGATATGGTCATAGAACCATAGAATCCCTATAGTGTGGAAGGAGGCCATTCAACCCGAGTCCATACCAACCCTCTGAACAGCATACCACCCAGACCCACCTTGCTACCCTATCCCTCTAACACTGCATTTCCCACAGCTAATGCACCTAGCCTGCACATTCCTGGACACTACGGACAATTTAGCATGGCCAATCCACCTAACCTGCACATCTTTGGATTGTTGTAGGAAATCGGAGCACCCAGAAGAAACACACGCAGACACAGGGAGAACATGCAAACTCCACACGGGCACCCGAGGGTGGAATCGAACCCAGCTATCCCTAGCAATGTCCTAACCACTGAGCCACCATGCCACCCCTATGGCTGATCAAACACTTCAATACCTTTTACTCACCTTGTATGACGTTAGTAAACAGAAATCTATCAATCTGTACCTTAAACATACTCAAAGACTGAGGCACCAAAGGAGAATCGCAACGATTTACAGTCTTGAGAAAAAGAAATGTCTCCTCACTTTGGACCTCAGTAGCATCCCCCTTATTTTTAAATTCTGGATGTCGGGGATGTAGCTGCATCCCTAAATTAAACAGGTCCTATAAACTGAGGACAAGTAGATAATCAAAATGTGGCCGAGTGTTTAATTGGGTCTGTTAGCGTGAAGTGAACAAGCCTGAAGCAAGATCAGCTTGAAAGGAAAATTCTCTGTTGGACAGAATCTGGGTAGCATTGAGTGTCAGATAGCAAGCTAGTGTGGGAATAAATTTCAATACAGTATGCTGCCATGCTGTATGGTCCAGTGATATGGAGGATAATGAGGATAAATGCATCTGGAGATGGCTTCATTTTACATCGAATATGATGGTGTGTTGAACAGTGAGGGCAATGACAGGTCCCTTGCGAATAGTCAGTGTTGGATTTAACGCAGAGTGCACAGGTCAAACAGCAAGATATCAATGAGTCAGAACTTGCTACAGCTAAGCAACCACCTGCATTTCTTATTCATTCTCAGGATATGGGCATTGCTGGCTCGGCCAGTGTTCAATGCTGTCCCTAATTGCCCTAGATAAGGTGATGGTGAGCTGCCTTCATGACTTGCTGCAGTCACACAGTGCTGTTATGAAGGGCGTTTCAGGAATTTGACCCAGCAACAGTTCAGGTGTTTTATGAAAGCCTTTACAGAGCTCCTATTGCACCCTCTCACCACGGCTCCTGATAGTAGCACTCAGCAAGCGCGCCTTCACTGCATTAACCCTCAACAAAAGGATGATGGGGCGTCACATTCTTGTGCCCCTCTGTTCCAGGCAATGTGAGTATATCAGTGTGAAACATTTTAACTAAAATACTCTGAAGTTGATATATAACAGGAAAAGCGAAGATGAAATCGCCATTGTCCTACCAGACCGTAGGGTTGCTATCTCATTACAGAGAGAACTTGTGGTAGTTTAACC